TCTTGCCACAGGTTCTGCAGTAAATTTGCATACTCGGTAACTGTCTTGCTGCCTTGTTTAGTTGCTCCAATCTTGACTTTGATTTCGTACACTTGTGCTGCATCACGTGCTTTTGAATATGTTTGTCGGACGGCATCACAGATCTCTTTAGCCGTGGATAAAAACATACACGTRTCGCTGATTTCAGGGTTCATTGAATTCCATAACCATGACCTGATCATGGAGTCCGCACGCATCCTTTTTCAGGGTTGTGGGGTCCACCACGAAAGGAAGGGGTCATCCAATGACCGTAAGGGACACCATGGCAATGATGTGCATTCAGCCATCTTCCCTCCATTATGTATGTCATATACTTGTCAATTATTTTGTCTTTTTTTTTGTTGTTATCATACATTTTGTCTTTATAGTGACTTAGTAAGTGAATCATTTAAAAGTAGTAATCCGATCATCAAATCACTGAATCCCCATTTTTTCTTTTAGGAAAATATTTAAAAAAACTATGATGGTTTTAATGAAATATCAGAAAGCTTCTAATTATATTTTAAAGTTTTAAACCTTAAATTCATAGTCTGTCAATGAAATCTGAAATATCACTGTCATATTGGCAAAATATTGGAGATATTAAGAGAAATAAAATGATTGTTGGAAATTTTCATACTTCCACTAGGAAAATGGGGAGATTTCAGAAATTTTACCAAATCTTGCTGATATTGTGAACCATGATGGGGTTGAGTAAGTTGCATTTAGGATTGTTTTTGCTGGCTAATTTGTTGTATATTTTTCTTCATGTTGTGCACACTGTGTTGGATTTTGATAGACCCTTCCTCTTGAGGACCTCCACATATCTGCCCCCTTTCCTCTGTCTTTGCACACCCCTTCTGCACATCCATGCCCATGTGTGTTTCCTTCTATCTTTTCTTATTCAACGAAACCAACTATATTGCCGATTTTTCATCCCTACACCATCTATACAAAATTATGCATCAGAAAGATCCTATCGACTTTGAAGCTTTTCCTAAACGCTACCATCCCTAGGGCAAATTAACACAACATAGGAATAAAACCCAATTGATACCTTCCATTCTTGTATGTTTATACAAATAAATGGCTCTAAAGTCAAGATTAGAAAGATCAAAATGCTATGGATCTATGTGGCAAGATTTATTTAGACATTTCCTTATTAGTAAATTGTAGGAAGCATCATATAGGATGTGTAAGAGCATACACTTGCAAATCACCATAGAACCAGTTTAGTCCATCCGGTCCAGTCTGGTCCAATTAACAACCCAGGCTACCAAGAAGTAATTCAGAGAAAAATTATAGAAGAAGTGATTGACAACTGTCCACTTTAGCTGATGTGGCATGGAAGGTTCTAGAAACCTCTCCACTTAATAAATAGAAAATATAAATAATATTGGGAAATTAGCCACAGGAGGGGGGGAGGTCTCTCCACTGACATTTCTCCCAAGTCTTCCTTCTACCAACATTCTCTCTCAGACCCCTTTCCTCTCTCTCTCTCTCTCCAGTCAGGCCATGGCTAGTTTCTCAATCTTTCTCTTAGATCACTGACTTACAGGAACTATGGTGGCCTAATCCCTTGCCAGAGGATACATAGTGCAGTCCCTCTGGGGGGTCCAGATAATCTTCATTTCTCCCTTCGGCTGTTTCTCGGACCTTTGGGGTTTGACCATGAATGCCACATCCCTGGAGCTTACAGGATGAATAGCACAGTGGTATCTATGTAGGCAACTGAATATCTAAATGAGACTAGATTGATATTGTTATAAGTTATGTTAATTATTCCTTTTTTTTCTTTTACAATGCACGTTTTTCTTTAACTGTTATTGTTCTTTTTATATCTGTTGTGTTTTTCAAATCAAATGTTTTTACTTGCAGACTGTGAAGGAATTTCTTGTCGTTGCAGAAGCAGAAGTGAGGTCTTTGGCTTCACTATATGCCGGAGTGGTATGTCCTAGCTTTTCCCCTTAATAATGGAGCTTAAACTTCAAATGTGTAAGCAAGACAAAATTGTTCATAAGATGGTATGTTTTTGGATTGGATTACAGGGTAGAAATGCTGATGCATTAGCACTTTATTTTGGAGAAGACCCAGCCCGTTGTCCATTTGAGCAAGGTATCTCCATCTTGTTAGCTTCAACATTTACTAACAATTTAGAAACTGAAAGAGTAAAAATAAAAATAATAATTGCCCACCTATTTCCATATAATTCTTCCTCTTAGGTTCCCAACTCCACGTGCTTTTAATCAAAACATAAATTTCATTTCTTGATTTATTTTAGGTTTCCATTATGCCTATGTTTGTATCTGATCATCATAGATTATCTTCTCATATTTGATAGTACAGATGTTCTTGTGGTTTTTTTTTTTTATTTTTTAGTTTTGAATCTGCAATTATACTTCTTCTAATAATCCCTGAAGTTTTGTTAACAGTTGCCATGTTTTTAGTTATCTTTCCCTGATTTACATGAACTTTCCAAATATCTTAGTGATATTAGCAAAATATCCTCAAATTTTCCCTATTTCTTTATGGTGAAACATCTATTGATATTGAAATCACAAACTATGAACAAGGCTTATAGAAGAGGAGAATAGAGATAGTGGCATTGTAAATATATAAAAAAACAGCAAAAGTATATATAGAGAAAAAGAGAAGGAAGAACTTGCATGGGGAATGCTACTTACCTACGAACTTTCACAAGTCACTCAAATAACAACCTCCATTAGTATGATGGACGAAAACACTCCCATGGGTATTACGTGATCTATTATAGTTTTCTAGATGCCAAGATTGTCCTTCTTTGACCCATTAATCATTTTCTTCTTTGTTTTGTCCATGTCAGGAGATTAGGGTTTCTTTTCATCTTTGAACAGGGTTTATTTGCGAAGTTGGAGGATTGAAGAAATAGATGGTAGGAAAAACAATGTATTCCAGAAATTTTCCATTCTCATCTTCATTTTCCCCATTCTTCCGAGTGTTGTTTTTGAGTCAAGTGTTTTGTGAGTCTCCTTTGTGTTTGATGGCGAAGTTTACCCTTCTTACTTAGTGGGTCTCCTACTGTTGTTTCTGAGACAAATATTCCGTGGGTCTTCTGGTGTTAAAAATTGTTGGTAATTAAGTATTATGTACTTCTCTTGTCATAAATCAGATTTTGTCTATTGTTATGCTTGTTGCTTTGACATCTGAAAAGTCTTGGCTGTAGGTGATTTCATAGCGGAGTCCTTGAAGACTGCTAATGAGATTCTTAAAACGAGAAGGAGAATCAACTAATGAAAAAAATTGATTAATTTCCATTGACTAGCGCTTGGAATATTGTATCATYGGCATTAGCTTATCTCCACGGTTGAATTTATATCCTACAATTAATTCATTTCAGCATAGATGAGCAATGGCTATTGTGTTGGCCATTTAATGAAAGTTCCTACAACTAAAGGAAAAAATTTGATTAGTTTCCATGGGTGATTAGTAGACCACTAGACTGTTGTTTTTTGGCTCTTTATTGAAAGTTTATACAACTAAAGAAACAATTTTGGTATTCCTTAATGAAAGTTCATTTCAATATTTTGCATGAGGAAGTTTCTTCCTGTGGTAAAAAAAGCTCTCTGTTCCCATTTTCCAACTCCAGTAATGCTTGGAGGAGTTTCTTCTGCTTGTTCAGTGGTGAGAATAGAACCTTAAACCAGACCTTTAACTATTGTTCCATTCGATTTGAGAACAAAACCTACTACAAATGGTAATTTAAGAGGATTAGATTGGTCATTTTCCACCTGCTGTTAACAGTGCTTAGCTTGTCAAAGCTTCCTTTTTTTCTAGGGGGGGGGGGGGTGTCTTTGCAACTTTTGAAAGTTTAGGTAGTGAAGTGGCACACCCCTCATAGTTTATAAGGGTTTTTGGAGTTTACCCATAAGAAAAAGAAATTTTAAAAACACTAATCCTTGGCATCATACTTCATTTAGAAAGTATGGGCCCAATCTTCCTATGTAGACTTACGTGTGTCAATCTACTAGGTTTGCAAGCTATAACCAAGAAAATAAGAAGACATAAGGGGGGTGTTTGAATGAATGACCCGACCCCAAAGTATTATGAATAATGTTAATATCATTAGTTTATTACTTTATTATTATTTTACTTCTATTTTATTATTATTGTGTTATTATTATTTTATTAATATTATTGTTTATACATTCTCATATTCAACTTTGAGGGCAAAATGGTAAGATTGGAGGCAATGTAGGTTACACTCATATTATGATGGTGTAGGAGCAGTGAAGGAGAAGTGAAGTTTTTGAAGGAGGCCCTCATATTATGATGGTGTAGGAGCATAACATAACACTAAGTMTTGCGGAAGGGACAGGGCGAATTTTAAAAATTTCTCCCATCTTTGCAGGGAATCGAATTCCCTATATTTGAAAATCATGTTTTTCAAGGATCAATCTTGAATCAAGAACCAAACCATATCTGAACCAAAAGGAGTAGGAGGGAGGATGTACCTAATACAGAGAAGCAATATCTCCCAATGGAGGTGTTCACGCCCAAGGAAGGATCCAAAATCTGCTCCCACTAAAGATGGCGCAGTGCAGGATGGAGCAGAATCAGCAATGTTCTTCCAAAAGAACTTGACCCTTCACAAGAATCAACTGGACGGCTTGTGAGTACAGCT